CTAATCTCGGCCAAGAGTTGCCTTTCCAATTAGACGCTTATTTTTATTTATTATTATTATTATTATTATTATTATTATTATTATTATATTTTTTTATTACAATGTACCCTAATAAAATTTCGTCATCGAAATTTAAAAATAAATATGAAAGTGAACATACCTCAATAGAAAAGTTGCGGTTATCTTTCTTGCATCTCAAAAATCTTCTCCCAAATAGCATCCTTGTCAAACTTATGCTTCCATAAAATTTTCACGAATGGAATCTCTATTTTGCATTTTCTTCATATCATAATCCAAAATCTTTTCAAGCTCCTCAGCATATGTCAAATCAGGATGAATAGTCTGTTATCAACCTATTAGCTTCATGTGCAATATACTTCCTTAATGAGGAAATGTGGAAAACATTATGCACTTCCTGCATATGTGCTGTTAAAGCCAGTCTGTAAGCCACCTTCCCATTCTTCTCCACATTCTCAAATGGACCAATAAATTTGGGGCTCAATTTTTTCTGCCTTATAAAAGCATTGCACAGCCTTCAATGGACTAACCTTAATAAAAACAGCTCTCCAACTTCAAACTCAACAAGTTTGATACCACTATTGTCACGACACGACCCGATGCTTAGAATTAATTAAGGCAGGTATTGCGTTTGAACGGCATTAACATCTAACTATCCCTTTTCTAAAACTTTCTATTGAATGATGTGTTAAGTGGTAAAGGTTACAATCTAATCCCCGCTAAGAGTTGTCTTTCCAAATCAATGCTTATTTTTACTTATTATTATTATTATTATTATTATTATTTATTACACAGCCAAGCTCAAGTTTTCCCTTCAGGTCAAGTTTGATTTTAACATGACTCGAGCATTAATTTGGAAGGTATTGCGTTCGGACGGCATTAACATCTAACTATCCCTTTTCTAAAACTTTCAATTAAATGAGGAGTTAAGTGGTAAAGGTTGTGATCTAATCCCCGCTAAGAGTTGTCTTTCCAAATCAATGCTTATTTTTACTTATTATTATTATTATTATTTTGTTATTACAAAACCAAGCTCAAGTTTTCCCTTTCAGGTCAAGTTTGATTTTAACATGACTCGAGCACAACTTAACTTCTACACATCTCTAAAGTGAGCTCATGTACTGGGGGTGGAAGGAGAGATGCAGCAAGCATTTAGTCTCCTCACCTACTTTGCCTCTAACTTGGGGTCTGTTTGGGGCAGCTGCAACTTCTCTTGATAAGTCGGTTTATCCTGATAAGCATCTTATTCGCAGTTTATCCTGATAAGCTGGTTGTTTGGTTTGTGTGTTTTAAAAACAACTGATTTGCAGCTGTTTTTGGTTAAATAATTATTTTGTTCCTGATCTGCATAAGTTGTTTAGTTGTTTGATTTGTGCGTTTAGAAAACAGCTGATTTGCTGTTGTTTCTGGATAAATGACCATTATGGCAGTGCACAGTTATGTTGTTTGCAACAGAACTGTAATGGTCATACATTTGATAGTTCAGAACCAAAAAAATCACTTCATAACAGTACAAAAAATGATATACATTTCAATTAAGAGTGAGTATCAAGTCACTTGAGGTGCCTGCAAGCACCTACTCAGTTGGGTTGAACGCATGCTGACCCATCGCAGCAACCCACTTAAACATTACGTCTAATTTATCTTCCAAGCTTGGGTCAATTTCGTACACCTTAATTTTTTTGGTAGTTTGTACTGCCTATAACGCTGTTGAAGGGGGGGTTATATTAGTTAAAATAAAACAAAAATGATAATGAGCAAAAATGCATGTTAGTCCACCATTATTAACCCTAACTTCTCAGTCCACCATTATTAACCCTAACTTCTCAGTCCACCATTACTCTGAAGCATCAATGGTACGCTTAATGGGATTCCAACCCAACCCAGTGGAATCCCGTTTCAGCTCCTTCCATAACTTCCACTCCTTCAAATGATTCCACTTGTTCTTGAATGTTAACCTATCATACTCTCTTCCAGTCAATTCTCTAAACCTCAAAATATTTTGCCAACCTTCCTTATTGAAGTGCGTTGTATGTCCATTTCCAACCTCAATCTCTTTTATGCAAAGATCGCAAAAAATGTTTATTACTTCTTTATCCCACATTGTTGACGAACCCCCTTCTTTCATCTTAGCCATGTTGGAACTAATTGAAGAGTACGACAATTAAACAAAATAACTTAACATATAGCAAACTCAGGATGTTAGACCATTACAAATCGGCAATAAAAAAAAATTGAATTAAATATGCACTCACAACCAAAACATCATAAATATTTTGGCAGTCATATTAATCCACAATGCATGTTACAAAAAAGATTGGACATAACTCTTTTTGAGTTTAGTTTTGCCTATCTATTTCACCAATCAAAAACATAATCCGTATGAAAAAAATTGAGAAAGGTAATTAAACGAGAAAGGTAATTAACCATGTATTTGAAGTGCCAACATAAACGAGAAAGGTAATTAATCATAGATGGGAACCAAATGAACATACTATTGAAGTGCCAATATACTGGCATTAACTGACATCAAACTCACAAATGAGAAAGGTAATTAGCCATAAGAATTTTCCCCCATGGGATGCCTCGAATTAAAAATAAGTCCATTTAAGGCTACAAATGAGTGAAATACTTGGCATCAAACCCGCAGTTTAACACTAGAAAAATGCACAAGTTTTTTCATGTATGCACGTTTGAGCATTACCACATGTGAGTGAATCAGTTTTCATAGATTGCATGACAATATCATGCTTTTTGCAAGGCCAGCCTTGAAAAAATGTTACATGTCTTTTTCATGATTATACTATTTGGAAACTATATGTAATGTTCTACAAATGACATTAATTGATATTTTCATATTGCTTGCACTAGTTTTGATGTAAATTAATGAGTTTCTCACTTAAATGCATACCATTTTAGGTTGCTGATTTTGGTTTGGCAAAGTTTTCATCCGACAATCACACACATGTCTCGACCGGAGTCATGGTAACATTTGGGTAAAGCAAATGTACATACTAAAGCAACCATAAAACCAAAGAAACGTATGTGGCAATTCACCAACTCTTGCTATGCGGCACATGTACATACTAAAGCAACCATAAAACCAAAGCAACCATAAAATGAAATGTACATACTAAATCAACCATCATTGCATTATGATTGACACCATGAGCTAGAACCATATGTGGCACATACTGACATCCATTTCCCCAAAAGCATGAAAAAGAGAACCACAGTTAATGCAAGGGTTTAGGGTTTAGGGTTTAGAGTTTAGGGTTACTAAAGCAACCATAAAACCAAAGCAACCATCATTGCATTATCATTGATACCATGAGCTAGAACCATATGTGGCACATACTGACATCCATTTCCCCAAAAGCATGAAAAAGAGAACCACAATTAATGCAAGGGTTTAGGGTTTAGGGTTTAGGGTTTAGGGTTTAGGGTTTAGGGTTACTAAAGCAACCATAAAACCAAAGCAACCATCATTGCATTATCATTGATACCATGAGCTAGAACCATATGTGGCACATACTGACATCCATTTCCCCAAAAGCATGAAAAAGAGAACCACAGTTCTTGCAAGGAAAAGACCTCAGCTGTCCCTCATTTACACAACAAAGGCATCACCAAACTCGATAGATGAAACACGGGCAAAAAAATTCCAACACAGTGGCGAATTATTTCGAAACCAGTAACGAATCCAATGTTAAAACAAGCTCAAATGCTCAAGCTAGAAGCTATTAACATATTTTTTCTGCAATCCTTGTGGGTCATTGATAATATTTACCAACTTTTGCTAACCATCACTCAATAATCCATCATAGTCATTGATATCATGAGCTAAAACCATATGTGTCTCATACTGACAACCATTTCCCCAAAAGCACGCAAAAAAAAGAACCAAAATTCCTGCAGGGAAAAGGCCTCAGCTACCCTCATTTTCACAACAAAGGCATCTCCAAACCCGATAAATAAAACACGAGGGCGAAAAAAATTCCAACACGGTGACGAAGTAATTCAAAACCAGTAACGAATACAACCCTAAGGAATCCCAAAAGCATGAATTCGAAAACATTAAAGACCGTTATATCATGAATCTTAACTTACAGAGAGTAACTGGAGCACGAAGTGAAAAGGAGAGGAGAAGGGAAAGCGAGTGAGGTGCGGGTAAGGGAGGACGACGGAGAACGATAAGTTACAGCGAGAGGAGAAGAGCAGAGGAGAGAGGCGTGGGCGGGTATGGGAATTCGATCAGAGAGCTAAGGGGCTTGAGGTAATAAGCTTGGACGGAACGCGAACCGCGGGGTCTGTACCGCGGCTGCAATTCGTGAAGGCTTGCCTTCACGCGTTTACGAACCGCGGAACCAACGCGCAAAACTAACGTGCGTTTAGCGTTTTCAAAACACCGAACGCACATATAAGCTGTCCCAAACGTTCCCTTAGTGTACTTATAATCTTGCTACAATATATTTTCATTTCAAGATTTTTTTTTTCTAGCTTCTCCTATAGTGGCAGAACTAAGTTAATTCTAGAGTGGACAATTTCTCATATTGGAATTTGAATTTTTTTTAATAAATAATAGAAAATTTAATATTTTTTACTTACATATCACCTTAGCATGAAAATGTATATTTCACTTTTTGAAATTTAAAATAATGGTATATTAATGTGATATGAAAGATTTTGGTGGTATAAATGTAAAAATTAAAGTTTAGGTGATGTATATGTAAATACATAGGAAATGGATGGTATGTATGTAAATGCCGCTTTATTTTAATGTAGAGGAAAAGGGGACAGCAACTAAAAAATAAATGGGTAGCGTTTTGGATGTAAGAGAGAGTATTGAAGGTTAATAAGAGCATCCAATAATTTTAAGGCCGCTACTGTGCTAGGCAATCAAAATGAAGCAAGAAGCACAAACTCTGTGCATAAGAATTTAACGAATCGTCACTGAAAGCATGGCTGTGGGGCGGGGGTGGGGATGACATAATGAGGCACCTATAAGATCTTAGAGATACTGAATGTGCAAATCTACTAAACAACTCCAGCAACAATTTTCAACCTCTATTTATGCCCTAGAGTTTCCCTTTTGGGTAACACAGACTTAGACTTTTCCCGATCAAGTTTGATTTGACTCAGATAAACCCCTTCAATTCCTCAAAATTAGTTACAAACTACATATCAAGTACTCATAATTTCCTCAAGGCACCAAATTCTATAGATTGAAGTGAAATCTGTCCAAGATATAATGCTTTAACATGCCGGTCACACAATCCAATCCTTCTTCGATTCAAGCTTGGATGAATGGATGAAGAAAATCCAGTCTTCCAACCAGGAAACCTTTGCCTCTCTTTCACATGGAGCTTATACATGCTTGGTGATGCAGCTGTACATCCCATTACAAAGCAGTTAAATACTCTAGCTGGTACTTTAACTCTTGAAAACGACAACAAGCACAATCCACTGTTAAAAGTTCCATAACTAAGGGCTTCATCATCATCATTATCAAAACTATCAGAAATGCCATATGGTGCTGAAGCCATTTCAGTCTCCAACTCATCTGTGTTAGGAATGCAGCTCAATTCTGAATCATAGTTTTTCTCAATCACTTCTTCAGCCACTTGATACTTTGCTCCCAACGTCCGAGTACAGGATTTCCTCACACACTGGAGTATCAAAAGCTTGATGTAGCCAAAGTTTTCGAATTCAGAGTACCATTTTAGCCATCTCTGAATCAAGCCTGAAAACCAACATATTATTAGCTCATCATCTTGCAGGACTAACGTAGAAACGTGCTTTGGATAACCTTGAGTGCCAACCACACCATATCTAAGCAGGCTCCTCTTAACCGAACCAATTGGCGCCTCCAAAACAAACATCTTTTGATTGCCGTGCCGATCAGATCTGGTTTCGGTTATGGAACTTTTAAGCAATTCAAGACTTGCGGCTGATTCTGATGAAACATAGTCCATTGCTTGCTTTCTGAAATTATAGAAAGAATCCCTCAGATCTTGAGGCAGCGCTGGTTCAACAATGTACTTGGATAGTATGGTTTCCTCATCAGCTTCAACCTTGGCATTTACATCTTGCATCCATATCTTCATCAATGACTTAAACCAATGATCAGTTTTCATTCCTGGTTTTCGAAACTGTGATAGATGATCCAAAATAGGAGTGCTAAGCCCAAGCTGCTTGATCTCGGATTCTTTTATTCTTCTCAAAGCCCATCCCAGCCATTTTTTACCAATTCTTACGGTAAAAGAACCCCAAATTTTCTGTCTTTGAGAAGCAAACATCTGCACCTTATCCTTCAATTTGTGCACAGCTCGCAAGGCCTCGTCTTCTCTAGTTCTAACCCGAATAGATGTACCAACAAATTGCAAAACATGAGAGTCAACATCAACAGGTAGCGGATCCATCTGATTTTCCACATCTAAAAGAAGTGAGCTCATTAGAAAGTTTACTATATCCGACTTCAAACTCATTGCAGCATCTCTAGAACCTGAAACCAAAACCACAATCTCATCCATGTTTCTGCATACATGCAGTTTATTTTCTTCAGTAACCTCCAATTTCTCTCTGCGGGAATCACCACTTTGTTTTATTTGTCTGCGAAACCACCACCGTAGCTTCGACTGTTCTAAAAATTTCTCCCCACTGCAACCAACGCCCAGGCCTTCATATCTCAATGACATTCTAATTACTTCACTGTCAAACATACCGAGATAAATATTCATCAGAATAGGGGAGAGAATTCCTTCCTGAGGCAACCCATGGCCCTTTGGGAATACCCCAAACACCAAATTAAGAACCTGAGCATCAAATAACTGATAAATGAATTGAAATAACTTCACATCTTGAATTTTTTCCTCCATCACTGATATCAGTTTGGAAAGAACATCTATGTCTGCAACCTTTCTCATAGATATTGTAAACCACCAATCAGAATTATGAATCTCCTTCTGAACATATCTCAGTGCTGAACGATGCCCCCTTCCACTCCTGCAGCCATGAGAAATCTTCGAGAAATGTGGCCTGTATACAACCTCAAGTACAACTCTGACTGCCTCTTGTACAACTCTCAACTTAAGATTAGGAAGAACCAAGCATTGTCTCCCATCCCTCTTTCCATACATAATCACACTATTTTCCTTCACATCAAAATCACCATTCCTAAGCTGTTCTGCCATGGTATAAAAGCAAAGGTTGTCCTTCTGTGATGCCAGTTCAACATGAGAGTTCAAGCGCACAAGATCATAGCAATCCCTTAGAACCTCTGCATTAGCAATAACCAAATCCATAAGATCATAAAATTTCTCATTTAGATATCGCGCTTTCGTCATCTTCTTGATGCGAACCTCAATCAATCTCTTTAGCTCCTTTGGGCTCTCGGCATCTCGGCATTCTGATTATCTGCTGACAAAAACTCTTCTGTAAGGCAAGCTAAGCTTTTGGCCAGGGACGCTGGAGGAGCAACTTTTCTAGGAGCATCCTCAGCCTCTTCAAGTGAGAATCTCACTCCACAATACCTGGAGCATCCACCCATTTTCCCTGCTGCATAAACAGCACTATATCATATGTTTTTTTTTTATTCTATAAATCTCGTTACAAACCTCCTAGCTAGTTGCTTTGCTGAGATTTTACCTGCCCTGATGGCAAAGGTCGCCTTCTGCATCAGCAGCGGGAGTCTGCCCGTTGTGAACCACATCTCTTACATTGCGATTATTCTGTTTAAAGCCAACTTTCAGTCTCGTTATTTTAAGAATGGTAATAGGGAACAAATAAAGAATGGCATTTCATCAAACACATGGTTTGCAGGAGGCATTAAAAATGGCGGTCATCTCAAACGACTCCTTTGAGGTAAAGCAGATCGGCAGCACCGAAACAATGAACTCCTACCAAGTATAAACCTGTTTTCATTGAAAAGTAAACTCACCTGAACAAAGCTGTATTAGAGTAGAACAGCTTCCACCGCCTTGCCTAATTCCTGACGAGGAGGCATCTAGCTCTCTCCTTCCGCGGATGATCGTCAGCCTCATCGCTTCATCATTATAAACATAGATTCAGTGCCACAGAAGTAGGGCTGTCAAAATGGCTCGTTGTTCGCGAACAGCTCGTGTTCGACTCGTTAAGAAGCTTGTGTTCGGCTCGTTAATTTCGTTCGATAAGTTAACAAGCCGAACACGAACTAAGATGTGTTCGTTCGTGTTAGTTCATGTTCGGCTCATTTTGGCTTGAAATACTACTCATTAAGTTTATATTAAGTAGTATTTAAAAAAAATCTAATTGACTACAAGGCTACAAAGATTTATAACCAATTAAAATATTGATTAAGAAAATAGAATAAAAATTATTAAATTATATTCAAATGATGTTTTAATATAAATAATAATTTTTAAATCTTGCTCAAACTCTTATTGTCTTATGGCTATATGATTAGGGTTGTTAAAAGGACTCT